TCTGGAGAGCAATTTCACGATGTCTCAAGAGCCTGAAACAAAAAAGTCCATCGTCTTTGACCCAGAAATCCTACCTCTTTCAGTCTATTCTAGGTAATAACCCCTAAAGCCATCAAATATTTATCTACAAACTTTACTTATAAAATTACTTGAAAACATAATCTAGGGGCTCCTGAGTGGCTCAGTTGGTTAAGCATCTTACTCTTGGTTTCAGCTCAGGTCGTGATCTCGGAGTCCTGGTATTGAGCCCCATGACAGGCTCCACACTCAGCTTGGAGTCTGCTTGAGATTCTCTCTCCCTCTGTCCCTCCCACTCATGCACTCTCTCTCAAATAAATAAATTTTTTAAAAATTAAAAAAATAATCTAAATGCTCAACAATCCAAATATTCAACCATAGAAAAGTAAGTTAGGAGACTTCCATACAATTAAATACTATGTGATCACAAAAAAATCATGGGAATTTAATGATTCAGAAAAATTCCTTAGAGACAATGTTATAAAGAAAAATAAACAGGATACAGGACTACAGTATGAGCTGTATGTGAATTTTTATGTTAAAAGGGGTTAGACAAACAAACTTTAAGGAAATACATAAAATCTAGTAGCAGGTATGAGTGGTGGGATTAAGTACAATTTGCATTTCTCTTTATCCTTTTCTACAAGGTTAATGCAAGAGTTAACACAAGCATAATACCAGTTAACAGATAACACACATGAAAAATAATTTTCTTTTTCTCTCCTCTACATGGCTCTTGAAGGCAGAACTAGACCAAAAAGTTTTAGGAACTATGGGGAGAAAATTTTGGTATAATATAAATAGAACCTTCCTTACAGTAAACTAAAAAACAGAAGATAAAACCTCAGAAGAGTGAGCACTGTGTTAACTGGAAGCATTCAAACTTATACTGAAAATCTTTCTAGCTACTCATTCATTTATTCCAATGCCTACCTAGCATCAATTTCATGCAAGATACTACTCTCCTCACTGGCGATCTTGCAAGCAGCAAGACAAATGAAGTCTCTGCCCCACGGAGCTTACCTTGCAGTGGGGGGACAGCGACAGCAACATAATGTCACAGGTGATAAATGTTATAAAAATATAAAGTGGGCTAAGGGGAGGGAGTGAAGGCGGAGGCAATGGTTGGCTATTTTTGGAAGAGGTGACCGGGGCAGGTCTCCCCTACTCTATTTGGAGTAGAGATAGGAACTTAATTAAGCAAGGAAGCCTTATGGATCTTCAGGGTTTGAGAGTTCTAGGTAGAGGAAAGAGCTGGAGTAGAAATGCACAGTGAATGAGGGGCAGCCAAGGACCGCAAGAGCAATGGAACCATGAGAGAAGGAAGTCAAGATTAAGATGACTGGTGGGGACACCAGACAACGAGGGGCTTATCCATGCTAAACGGGATATTAGCAGGTATGATGCAATAGGGGCTTGGCAAGCGCTTGTGTGGTTGAGCTTCACCTTTTCTACCTCTGCCGCCACTTTGAGAGGATATGCCCCAGCGAGCCCATTGGTTCCAAGAAGTTGAAAGACTCATGGAACAGAGCTGCCCCAGTGGAGCTTAGCTTAGATCAGCTGACCCACAGACCTGAGAGTGGGCCCTGCTAAGATCAGCAGAACTGCCTCATGGAGTGGCTCATGCCAACCCACAAATATGACAGAATAAATCATTACTGTTTTAAGCCAATGACTCTGGAGTGGTTTGTTGCCCAGCATTATTGTGGCAAAAGCTGACTGATGCAATGCCCAACCTAAACCTAAAAAATAGGAGACGGGTATACTTTTGGTTGGCTTGGGTGGTATTCTTGATTATTCCAGAATGATAAAGAGGCCTGACCAGCTCAACAAACCACAGCTGTGAGAGTAATTCCTGGAGTACAAAGCAGCCTTATCCAGATACTATTCCAACCTGACAGGATAATACTCCATTTCAAGTACGAGCCATGTAAGTTAATCAACACCATGCTCTAGTTTCTTATTTGTTTCCTTACTGAGAGACTGTTATCAAAGAGCTTTAGCCAAAGTGCTTAAGCTTGCCTCTCTCATCTGCTCTGCTAAAAAGTTTTCCCCAAGTGTTTGCTCGATGCCTTCCTAAGAGACGTTTTACAGAGATAACCAGGGAAGAACAGGGCTGCTCTTCAGCTGAACCACATTGCAAGTATTTGGGGCTTCAGGATAAGATGGACCATCGTCAAGCTCACTTTTAAAGTTCTGGGTTAACAAAGATCCAGCCGGAGCTCCTGCCACAGTAGGAATGCCCTATAGAATCACTTTGAATAAAGCTTTCCCAAGTCCTGACCTGGGGATACTCGAGACTAGAACAGACTCAGTGATTCCCTCAGGATTATACCAACAGAGCACAAATTCCCCCAAGGCTTCTACCAAAAGATGTTCTCTCCAATTTCCAAAGTCTTTACATACAAATCTCCTCAATGGAAAAGCTGCAAGCCCTTAAAATGTGCCTACCATGTGCTTGACGTACTAGAGAACCTGCTCTGACAGAATTATGATGATGTGTATTCAGCCTGCCAACAGCCCTGCACAGCAGAGCTGGGGTCCAAAAGGGGGAAGGAGTCACTGCCTGGAAGGACGACTGTGTGGTCATTGGGGAGAGGTATGGCCAGACGTGGGCTGTGAAGTTGGAATAAACCGGGTCCTTATTTACCAGCTGTCTCATCCACTGTCGGCTCTCCAGCCTCTCAGCCCGCTGCTCTGCTATTCTAATCCAGAGTGCTGATTCACCTACTTAACTATGAAGCAAGTTCAGAATGGCTGTCAAATTTTGATCATCTGTAACAGCAAAAAAGTCAATGAACCACAGAGAGCAGACAGCTGGGCTTTTACAGAGCCCCTTGTTTTGACGGCCTCATCCACTCTCCAACTCCTCATTACCTTCACCAGCTCAACCA